AGCAACACAAAGAAACAACAAAAAAACCACATTCAGGCTCTTCTCTTTATCTGCCATACACCTATGTCATCTTTCATCAGCTCGTTTCATCCATGATGGCAAGAGGCTTTCAACTTTCTTCCCATTTCTTTCTTCAAGTTAAAGCCCTATTCTATTCTCTTTAAATTTATTTTTTAATATTTCATAGCATCTGTCATTCAAAAACTATGAATATCTTTATGTGCTTAGATGAAATAAGCTGAAGAAGCCTGCTGGATTGTTTTGACTTGACATTTCCTTTTTAGATGTGATAGGACCCAACCCAGCTGCTTGTTTAAGCTCTGTGATACTGACAGGAATGGACCTAGAACTCCTGACTCAAAGTTGAACATCCAACTGCAGCAACTTAGACTCCAGAAGCCAGATTATTGGAAATATGCTGTCTCTTGTTGAAATACTACAGGTGCTATTTTGACTGGAATTTGTTGAGTTGCCAGGCTTAGCCCCGAGACTGATGGTATCCAGAAACTGGTGCCAACTGCTCACATCCCACTGGCCTCTCTCCATGTCTTCATCCCTCTTGTCCTGGCAACCAAGCACTCTGCTGTCTAATGCTGAACTTTTCATAATTAAACTTGTCAGAATTTTCTAATTAAATAACAACTCAGCATTAAATAGCAACAACAGCTCAGTGAGCCTGTTGAAGGAAGGGACTGTCCCTCTCTGCTTTATCATGATGCAACCTCACCATAAGCACTTTGTGTGCCATGTTTGGGCTTCCCAACATAAGGAAGATATAAAACTGTTAGAAAACATCCAAAGGAGGAGGCTGTGAGGACAAGATGTGTGAGGAGCAGCTGAGGTCCCTGGGTTTGTTCAGCCCAGAACAGAGGAGTCTGTGGAGAGGCCTCATGGTGGCCTACAGCTCCTTGCAGAGAGCAAAGGGGCAGTGCTGAGCTCTGCTTTCTGATGACAGTGACAGGATCTGAAGGAACAACATGGAGCTGCATGGGATGGTCAAGATGGGCATAAGGAAAATGTTCTTCACTGAGAGGATGTTTGGGCGTGGAGTGGGCTCCCTAGAGCAATGGGCACAACCCTAAGTCCACTGGACTTCAAGAAGTGTGTGGACAACCATTACAGAAACATGGTTTGAATTTTGGTGGCCTTGTGTGGAGCCAAGAGGTGGACTCAATGATCACTGTGGGTCCCTTCCAACTGGACATATTCTATTGTTCTATGAACTCTGTGGGAAGAAAATGTTGTGCTATAGTGCTATATATACTTTGTAAGCAATACTGCAGAAAGCCTCTTAGCTTCAAATAATTTCCTTGATATGCAGGTAGGCATTGTATATTACTGAGACCCTGTAACTCTGTTGTGGCTAACAGTAATGGACTGTGCAGCTCTTCTGCTTTCCTACTGTTATGAAGGCCTTCTGATGTGGGTGGCTCTAGGGGAAGTCTCCGATGTCAGGTCCATCATTAATCTGGACTGGAGAATGTTCTTGAAATTTCACATAGGATGGACTGGGGGCTCTAGTTTTTCTTGAGGTGACCTGGATGGGTGACAGTTTTGGGACATAGCCCACCACTGATCTGTCCAGAGCATGGCAGCTGCTGCAAGAGCTGCTATTTCTGTCACTGCACAGGCACAGCACAGTGTAAATTTCATTGCAGAACTTCTGAGGTGGCTTGTCCAAAACCTTGACTCTTCCTGAATATCAAATGAATAGGCACTGGAACCAAATTAAATTTTCAGATATTGATTTTTCCAGCCAGCTTGACTAATTTCTTTCTCTTGAATGTGGAGAATTTGCAACTAGTTTACCATGCTGTTGAATGTTCTGCCAGTATGCAAGACTCTGAGCCTTTAAGGTGTTTGGCATTGCAAGGAATCAGACCCCAAATTAATTGACTAAGAGAATAATTTCTTTGTTATTTGTCATGAAGCGTGAATTTGGGTTTCTTCTGAAAAACATCAAATCTAAATTACTTCTATTTTAAACATTTTACATAACAAAATGTAATCTTAGCTTCGCATTTTCTATTTCATTTATTTCCTTTATTGTCACGTACTCTATCAGTAAGGCTACAGTAGGTGATGTATTTAATTATAGGTATGTTTATTTAACAACTTCAAAATGATATGTAGCTGTGTTTATGTGATATCAATCAGTGGGATAAATGCACAAGTGTTTCTCTAACTTCTCAAACCATCAATAAAACCAAAAGCCTGTTTTTTTCTGGTTGTGGATCATAAAATTTCAACTGCATGGGTATTATATGAACAATATGAAGGTCATCACCATTAGCCTGTATGCAAAAGCCCTCTTCAGCATGTTTAAACAAAGCTGATGTCCATTCAACCCTGTATAATACTTGAACACTCCTGCCTATTACTGCAGCCAAAGCTCTGGTAACTCTCCAATGTGGCTTGAAAAAGAAAACTGTATGCCTAACATCTGAATTTAATGGCCTGTTTATTTTACTCCAGATTGCATTCACGTTGTTCATTGTTGCAATCTGAGCAACTTGAGCTTCCTTATGCAGATGTAGAGGAATACATCTGGGAGAGGCTGTCAATGTTCTGAGCTCTGGTTTCCACCAACAACTTGAACAAAAATGCTGCAAGTATGAAGTAATGGAAGCAAGAAGAGGGCTAGATCTTAGTGTAGATGCTGAGCTTGAATATGAAAAGCAGTCTTTAGAAGTCTGCACTAAAAGTAAAAATTAACCTCCTTAGACTCAGCTTTTGTTGCAGAGCCTGGAAGCGAAGTTCATTCCTGCATAGAGGGCTGTGTGTGTTCATGCGATGGCTTTGCAGTGTGGGGTTTTGTATGCTGCAGTTCACTGTGGTTTGGGACGGGACTCATCTTTTGGTATTCGTGCATTGATTGACAAAATCTGGTAGTACAAGTGGTAAGGGAACATGAATGTTCTGCATAACTTGAGGGATGCAGAATTAAGTGAGGCTTGTGAAAGGTGGAAAGATGTACTGAGAGAAGACAGTGTAGGTTGGTGCTGGGAAACAAGTAATGTTTTGGAAACTGTTAATGGCGCTTGCATTGATATATATATTTTTTTCTTGCTGCTGTGGTTTTTGTATGTGGACTTCAGTATTTCTTCATAAAGACAAGGCTGGACATATTAGATTTTGTTATGTAACAAATGCTAAAAAAAAAAAAGACCTGCAAGTAGATAAATATTATAGCTCATGTTAATGTGACCTTTGACCTTATTACACTTTTATTTGCTCCCATTTCTTTCGTTCAAACGTGTAAGTGATATCAAGGCCTGTAAACCAAGCTGCTGAAATAAACTAGAAAATGGCATAGACAAGGCAGGAGAAATGGTCTGGGAGGGATTTGGCTGCAGGTTATCAGCCATTAATTATTCATGTGGTAAACAATGAGGGAGTGCAAAAGCAGTCAGACTAGGTAGGCAGAGGATTAGGTTGTAAGATAATAGAGATAAGGACAAATAAGGAAAAAATCCTTAGCAAATAAAGCTGAATGTTATTCATAACTGTCACAAGCCTTCTTATACCGTAAAATAAAATACCAGTGAATTATTAATGGCTTTTTTTTACCAATTAAGGTAATTGCACCAGTGTTTGACGTCAGAGTTGGACATGACTCATAAAGCCAAAGATTTGCAAAATGTCAACAAAAGGCATAATTTGGGGAAATGGCTGCAAGAACTTTTGGATTTCTTGGAGTTAGGCAAAAGGAGGGAGTACTAATTAGAGTGGAAAAAAATGTGGCCATAATGAGCTTCTGCCTTTTGTGGTTTTATGCTATTAGCATGCCTGAGACCACTTATTTGCTACTCTCAATGGCTTTCAATCAGTATCCATGCAAAAATGCTTGTGTTAAAGATTTCTCAGCAAAAAGAAATTGACAGCAAGAAACATAAGGGTAGAAATAACATAAAATATACCCAAGCTACCCTTTAGCCTGAAAGGTCTCATCTATGTTCTCCAGGCAAACGTAATACTGGTAGGTAACTATTCCTTAATCTTACTGCTGTTTAGTAAGGGCAGAGGTCTGTTTTGCCAGAAGAAAGTAAATGCTGTAAATGATGATATTGTATCTCACTTGTGCATAATGACATAATGAAACAGGTTCCTGAAAGGTACCATTTAGCTGTGAGGGAAATTGTTCCTGGGTCATGTATTGGGGCTACTGCTGTAGGTGGGATCCATCAGGCCACAAGGGAGGAAAAACCCAGTGAGGCTTGCTGGGATGTCATATCCCACACACCCCATTCTTTGTGCAGTATCTGCTCATCCACTGCAGGTGGGAGGTTTTGGCATGCCTTTGGCTCTATTTTCCAGGAAGTTTTGGCATTTTTCAGTATTCTAAACTGCAAATTAAATGTAAAACAGGAATTTTAGGTTACATCAATAGCCCCAAAGATTTAGATGCAAGCTCTGTAAAATGTATGCTTGGTGGCTTAGTGATGCTCTTGTATCTATTAAATTGTTCTGTGTTATGACTGTAGGTAATATTTTCAACTGATAGCAACAAAGCATAAAATGTAGCATAAAGGGAGGAATGAGAAATGAAGATCATTTAAAATAATGCTTTAATGAGGGCAGGGCTTCAAGAGTTGGAAGTGTGCTCCTGAACTTCACCCTGCATCTGCTTCCCCAGAGGATACCACCATGGGAACTGTTTTGCAAGGGACATTTGCACTTGGTATTCAGGTTGTCTCAAGAGTTTATTGGTTTCACTGTTTTTTTAAGAGCATGAACATCTTAACATACTGCAGCTGTGCTTCCTTTTTTTTTTTTTTTTCCTTTCAGTCTATTTGATTACACTTGCCATTTCAAATCAATACATCCTCAAGTTGTGACCCGGGCTGCTGCATAAGTCTGCAGCACAGCACTGGAAGCTGATGTTTCACCTCAGACACAGCTGTCCTTCAGTGGCAAATAAAACAATTCCTCCATATTTATTTATTTTTCTATTTTTATTCCATCAATAGACCTCCTGAGATCCATTAAAGGTCTAGTATGAAAAGAGGTCAGAAATATTCATTGAGGTTAGAAAAGATCTTCAAGATCTTCAAGTCCAACCATTAACCTAGTATTTATCCTGGAATCCCCATATTCATTTTTCTGGGTAGGGAGGAATTTTGTTGAATGTATAGAAATAAAATTTTTACACCTGGCTCACTTTAAAATGCCAAGAATTTTTAATTTGTGGTAGTTTGTTAAGCCAGATGGAAATAATTTTGGTAGAATTTTGCCTGTAGAAAAGATTTGTATTATAAATTCTCAGTGCTGAAATTAAGGTAAATGCACTCCTAAATGAATATGCAGGTATTGGTACATTTACAGGCTAAAATGCAGAAAAAGAACAATGCTCACTGCTGTGTGCAGCTGTGTAGATCATATCTGGAAACCTGTGTCTCACACATCTGTGAGGAGAGCGCTGGTGCTAGAAGAGGCTGAAGAGTTGGTTTATGTGTTAATGCTACTTTTTCCATGCATCTTCATCACTCTTGAATCAAACCTTGCTCAACACTGAAGCCCTGCTGAAATGGTTCTCTAACTTTTTGTTAAATCATCAGTTGCTAGTAATGCTATGTTCTGAGAATCAGTTTTCAAATGACATTGTTTGCTATAAGATCCCTGCTTTCCCCATGATCTCAATAACTTACTACTTG